GAAAGACCTGAAGATTGTTGAAGTTAAAAACATCAACAATCTCAACACTGTCTGCAGGTCACCGCCCAAATGTTGAGGCTGTAGCTAGTTCCACTGCGTTTAAAAAAACAAAAAAACTGACACTTGAATGAAAATATGAACAAAAGAGTCGACTTTATTTGACAAGTCTTTTCTGACATGTTAAATATTTCTAAACACTGTTAAAAGCAAAAACAAAAGCAGAGAATGAGAAGCCTGCATGAGACAATCCAAATCTTTAGAGCGGATTTTTGAACCAAATTCTTTAGACTCGGGAAAAAAAATTGTGATTTATTTTAATTGTTCGAAAGCCCTAATACTAATGAATGAGCTCCCTTTTAAAAAATGTGGTCCTGGGTATTTTCCCTGATCTCCTCTTGGTGGGCTACCTCACCTCTCCTCTTGACATGGAGAAGCAGCGGCTCTACTCCGAGCTCCTTACCTTATTTGTTAAGAGAGCGCCCAGCCCACTTGTATCCGCGATCGCATCCTTTTCGTCCATTCCTCAAAGCTCAAGGTAAGTAAAAAATAATGGGTATTTAATTCATTGCAGCCTGTCTTACATTTTCAGGAAGACAGTCCCAGATTTCAGCTGCATTGATCTGAAATGCTAGCTCCCCATGTTTAGTCCTGACTCTGGCACCAGTAGCATTTTATCAACACGTCTGCTCCTGTTCCGGCTGAACGCTAACACTTTACCCATAGTCTTGGACAGTTTTTCCAATGTGGTTTTACTGCACATGTTGTCAGGCCTCTCCTTATATACAGTCTCTCTGCTGCTCACCCTACCATAAATTAGCCGGTTTGGTTTGCTCTGGCCCGCGATGGTTTTAATGAAGCCAGATTCCTTTGTGTTTGCCCGGTGGCTGGGGTAATTGAGTAGAAAGGGTCTTTTTCTCTGCTTGTTACCCAGGCAGAGGTGGTCTCAACATGGGGTCCGCGCCCTGCAGGGCTGGTGGACACTGGCTGTAGTCACGGGGCACTCTGGGGTCAGGGGTGATTGAAAGAGAAGAGACGGAGAAATAAAATATACAGGCTGTAGATTCACACCAGAACAGAGGTCTCCAAACTTTTTTCAGAGAGCTACTTCTATACGACAGAAGAGTAAGAGAGCTACTCCTTTTTTGCAGTCGTAATAAATATCTATTTGACAAGACACATGGAGAGCACATGGAAAATATACTAAAATACAGTATAACCGTATATTTATACTTAAAATAGATATGCAATGACTCAATATGTATTCACTCAAGATCATGTTTTAAATTCTAAATCCTAAATTCTAAATAAATAGTGGCTGGCGAGCTACTGAGAGAGCAACAGAGAGCTACTCCTGGACAAGACCCATGGAGAACACATGGAAAAAAATACTATAATACTGTATAACCCTGTATACTGTACTTATAAAAGATATGCAATGTATTGTTTCAAGATCATGTGTTGAATTCTAAATCCTTTGGGGAGCTACCTGAAAGTGCTTGGCGAGCTACAGGTATAGCTCCCGAGCCACAGTTTGGAAACCCCTGCACCAGAACAATGACCAGCGCTTGGGAAAGTCTAAAAGTTCCATAGTGACAAGAAGAAGGTGCTGGACGAGAGCTGGACTAGAGCTGGACTAGAGCTGGACTAGAGCTGGACTAGAGCTGGACTGGAGCTGGACTGGAGCTGGACTGGAGCTGGACTAGAGCTGGACTAGAGCTGGACTAGAGCTGGGCTAGAGCTGGGCTAGAGCTGGGCTAGAGCTGGGCTAGAGCTGGGCTAGAGCTGGGCTAGAGCTGGGCTAGAGCTGGGCTAGAGCTGGGCTAGAGCTGGGCTAGAGCTGGGCTAGAGCTGGGCTAGAGCTGGGCTAGAGCTGGGCTAGAGCTGGGCTAGAGCTGGGCTAGAGCTGGGCTAGAGCTGGGCTAGAGCTGGGCTAGAGCTGGGCTAGAGCTGGGCTAGAGCTGGGCTAGAGCTGGGCTAGAGCTGGGCTAGAGCTGGGCTAGAGCTGGGCTAGAGCTGGGCTAGAGCTGGGCTAGAGCTGGGCTAGAGCTGGGCTGGAGCTGGGCTGGAGCTGGGCTGGAGCTGGGCTGGAGCTGGGCTGGAGCTGGGCTGGAGCTGGGCTGGAGCTGGGCTGGAGCTGGGCTGGAGCTGGGCTGGAGCTGGGCTGGAGCTGGGCTGGAGCTGGGCTGGAGCTGGGCTGGAGCTGGGCTGGAGCTGGGCTGGAGCTGGGCTGGAGCTGGGCTGGAGCTGGGCTGGAGCTGGGCTGGAGCTGGGCTGGAGCTGGCTGGAGCTGGCTGGAGCTGGACTGGAGCTGGACTGGAGCTGGACTGGAGCTGGACTGGAGCTGGACTGGAGCTGGACTGGAGCTGGACTGGAGCTGGACTGGAGCTGGACTGGAGCTGGACTGGAGCTGGACTGGAGCTGGACTGGAGCTGGACTGGAGGCGGACTGGAGGCGGACTGGAGCTGGACTGGAGGCGGACTGGAGGCGGACTGGAGGCGGACTGGAGGCGGACTGGAGCTGGACTGGAGCTGGACTGGAGCTGGACTGGAGCTGGACTAGAGGCGGACTAGAGGCGGACTGGAGCTGGACTGGAGGCGGACTGGAGGCGGACTGGAGGCGGACAAGAAGCATTGTAGCATTATGACGTCACACTCTGCAGTTTTCTACCATTTTAAAACCAAAATATTTTCCCCAAATTAGTTTTCTAGTTTTGGCAATTTTGTCAAGTGAAAGTTTTAATTTAGAAACGCATACATTTCTCTTTTCTTTCCTGTTGCCATAGAAACACGTGCTACTACCATGTGTTGGTTAAGACGTTAGCGTGTTAGCGTAATAATGACAAACACGTCACGAATCTCTAAACTCAGTAATTGCTCCTTTTTAGAACTTCCAGGAATCTCGCTCCAATCTCAGCAAGTCGGAGCAGCTTCTGCCTCGGGCGCTCGGAAAACACAGAGTCATTAAACTGAAGGATGTTTAGATGTTTCCAGGTCTTTTGTCGGGACTCATGGTGTCGCAGGGAGAAAGATCAGGAGTGGGTTTAAAGTCTGCTCCACAACATTTGCTTTTGTTTCGGCCTTGGGCAAAATGATTTAAAGTAGAAGACAAATATCGTAAACTAGGGTCTAAAACGGGGATGTCCAAACTTTTGAATAAGAGGGCCACTTTAGTTCATCAGACTTGAGCTGGGGCCGACAACCTAGATAAAAAATAAAAAAAAACTGGACTGTCGCTGGATTGACTGGATTCTGGAATTTAAAATGGATTATGATACGTCTTTATCGATTCACACCACAGCAGCATTTTATTTGGATTTGTTGTGACACAATCATACATGTCATCCAGGGCTGTATAATATATCAAAAAAATATTGTTATCGCGATATTGGTGCGTGCAATATCCGTATCAAAAATATTTGCGATAAAACAAAAATATATAGATAAAAAAAATAAAAATTCTGTGCAGGTATCAATTTTAGGTGAAAGAAGAAAAACATGGTAATATCGTTATCGCAATACTAAACAGTCATATCGAATATCGCACTAATTTAAAATATTGTGCAGCCTTAATGTCATCTCCTTTTCTTCCCCTTTATTAATCCATAAAGGAGGTGGTAATCAGAGCTTAAATATATGATTGATTGAATTATACAGATCAGTAAATAACAATAGTCAGCGACTGAATTCCACTGAGTCTGAGATTTATAACAAGGTATATCGTGACTGTGTTGGTGGAGCTGAAGTTGGTTGGATGACACTTGTGTTAGCAGCAGAGGGACTGAGATTGGAGATTTCTGGCTGAACAGAGCGTTGTGAAAACTTGCTCTAAATTCACTGGAGGAAAACTCTTTGTGGGAGGAGCAGGTGATGAAAAAAGCAAAGCGCATTCTGCCGCAGCCCAAACATCCTCTGATCGCCCACTTTGTAATGATGACTTCAGGGCGTTGTTTTTATGCACCAGTTTTTCCAATTCTTTTGTGCCCTCTGCCATAAAACTGTTGAACTTATAGTGTACTGACTCACTGTGTGTTTGTGTAGAGTCTGTGTGTTCTGCTTTGAGATTATTCTGAATTGTCCTTTGGGATCGTTGGATATTTCATGACACTTTGAAGCAACTGTGGTGAAAGTTAAAGTCATCCTTCTAACAATGTGCACAAGGCAGTATTTTTCCACTACATGTTATGATTTTCTGAAGGCCAAGCTCCTGGCTCGTTGGCCGCTGCTGATTGGACGGTCTATGATTCTTCCTGTATAATATCGCTTGCATTCTTTAACTACTTTCTTCGTTCTGTTCAGCATCTATCCGTCTATCAACACGATCCCCAGACGATTGTCATTTTCTTCAGATCAATAGCGTGTTCTGAATCTGAATCTGAAAGTGTATCGAGAAGTACAGTATGTGGTATCAAGCTGTGAAACGATATCTCTGTTTTAAAACACCTGTTCAATAAGCAAACCAACAAGTTTACTTGTTGGTTCTGTGACTGTGTGGTTCAGAAACATCACAGACAAAGAAAGGAGAGGTCTATACAAGGTGCTCCACTCTGCAAAGAGGACTGTGGGCTGTGAGCGGCCTGTTCTGGAGGCTCTTTATGAATCCAGACTTTTAAACCCAAGCTCTTTGACTCATCAATGACTCTTCTTGCCACCCTGGGAAAGCCATGTTCCAGCTTCTTCCCTCGGGCAGAAGATATCGGTCGCAGAGATGCAAGACACCTCGCTATGCTAACAGCTTCTTTCCACAAGCTGTTAGGTGCCTAAACAGAACACTTTAACTGTTGGTTTTACCCCTTGTATCGTTTTTGTTTTGTTTCTTGTCGATCTGTGCCACAGTGTCAGCTGTTTTTATTTATGTTCAGTGAATGTGTATTTTATATGACATTGTATTGTGCTCTTTATTCTGTTGGTGGAGTACCTTTTTTTGCAAATGTATTTCAATGTGGTTTTTATACTGCACATGGCAAATAAAACAAATCTGAATTTGTCCTTGTGCCCCCGCAGCCCCCAGCCCCACCTCCGCCGTGCACTACCTGGCCACCAAGTGTGTGGATAAGGTGAAGCAGCGGCAGGAGTCCCAGTGGTTCATGCCCTGGGGCCCAAACCAGTGCGACAAGATCCGCTCCTTCGACGAGGCCATGGCCAAACACATTGAGGCCAACAACATCGTGTTCTCCGTCCACATCCCCCTCCCCCACAAAGAGATGAGCCCCTGGTTCCAGTTCATGCTGGTCATCCTGCAGTTCGACATCGCCTTCAAGCTGCACAACCAGATCGGTGAGAACGGCTTTTACTGAGCGGGTTTGTCATGTAGAGAGTGTGTGTCTGGACTTTAAAAGGTTATAACTCAAAAACTAACATTACCATCATTGTATTTGAAATCTTTTTTTCTAATCTGACATGTCAAAGAGATAGTGTGGATAGAATCAAAAGGAAAGATCGACAAATACAGTTGACATAAAAATGTTGCCAAAAATGTGACGCCTGAAAAAGCAACAGATGAACTCAAACAAGATTCACATTGACACAATATCAGGAAATCACTTATTTTTAAAAACGAATCATTTAAGAAAAAAAAAATCAATCAATATCAGTCTAACCCAACAGAGCCGTGCCAGACCAAACGTCCTGCTGATAAAACGATGTAGGTGGGACTGAAGGTTGTCATCCACATGGAGCGATTTACACATTTACAAGTGCTCTGTGACTCCCCACCAGAAATGGATTTTGGGGTAGAAGATGGATGGATGTCTTATAAGGACAACTTTATAAAGGAAAGAGCAGCACATGCAAAAGCTTGACCCCTGAAAGTATGAGCTTCACTCTTGTTGCTCGGCTTGTTACGCTGACATCATGAAAAGTATTGTCTCTCGCTTCTTGTGTCTTGTGTGTAGTTGTAGCAACAGACTTTAAAACAGTTGAATTTCTGATTATATTTGATTGTAGACTTCACACTAAACAACCCCCGGTAAAAAGACTAGGTCCTGAGGCGGGTTAAATGCAGAGTCAGAGGTCAATTTCCCAGTTTTTTCTCAGTGAGAATGAGCTTTTGGATTTCACCTCAAGTCAAACTCTCAGTTGTAGTGGGTTTTTACACATAACTGACTCATTTTCTCTCACATTTCTTTGTGCAGTGTTGTGCGTGAACGAGTTCAAAAGAACGCGTTCATTGAACACGCTCATTTTTTCGTGAACGTTGAACTGAACGCAACACTTTTTCTTTTAAAGAACTTGAACGTGAATTAGTTCATTTTGAGCATGTATGAACTGAACTTGAACTAGTTCAGAAAAGCTGTGAACTGGCACAACACTGTCTTTGTGCACTTTGGAAAGAAGCGTCGGCAGTGACTGCAGGCTGTAAACAGTGAATAGTTTACTAATACAGTCTGAAACTCATAACAGCAGTCGTATCTTCAGGCTTTTGTCATTGTCAGAGAATCAAACCAACACAGGAAACACGATCATAACACACAGTGGTCCAGTGAGAGCGGCACAACCTCAGTTCATAAAATGTTAATCAATATCCACCGACAGTTTCAGTAACGGCAGTCGATATGAGTTTTCTCCGCAGTAACTGAGGTGAGGACTAGGCTCAGAGAGGGGCTGAGGTGAGGACTAGGCTCAGAGAGGGGCTGAGGTGAGGACCAGGCTCAGAGAGGGGCTGAGGTGAGGACCAGGCTCAGAGAGGGGCTGAGGTGAGGACTAGGCTCAGAGAGGGGCTGAGGTGAGGACTAGGCTCAGAGAGGGGCTGAGGTGAGGACCAGGCTCAGAGAGGGGCTGAGGTGAGGACTAGGCTCAGAGAGGGGCTGAGGTGAGGACTAGGCTCAGAGAGGGGCTGAGGTGAGGACTAGGCTCAGAGAGGGGCTGAGGTGAGGACCAGGCTCAGAGAGGGGCTGAGGTGAGGACTAGGCTCAGAGAGGGGCTGAGGTGAGGACTAGGCTCAGAGAGGGGCTGAGGTGAGGACTAGGCTCAGAGAGGGGCTGAGGTGAGGACCAGGCTCAGAGAGGGGCTGAGGTGAGGACTAGGCTCAGAGAGGGGCTGAGGTGAGGACCAGGCTCAGAGAGGGGCTGAGGTGAGGACTAGGCTCAGAGAGGGGCTGAGGTGAGGACTAGGCTCAGAGAGGGGCTGAGGTGAGGACTAGGCTCAGAGAGGGGCTGAGGTGAGGACTAGGCTCAGAGAGGGGCTGAGGTGAGGACCAGGCTCAGAGAGGGGCTGAGGTGAGGACTAGGCTCAGAGAGGGGCTGAGGTGAGGACCAGGCTCAGAGAGGGGCTGAGGTGAGGACTAGGCTCAGAGAGGGGCTGAGGTGAGGACCAGGCTCAGAGAGGGGCTGAGGTGAGGACCAGGCTCAGAGAGGGGCTGAGGTGAGGACCAGGCTCAGAGAGGGGCTGAGGTGAGGACCAGGCTCAGAGAGGGGCTGAGGTGAGGACTAGGCTCAGAGAGGGGCTGAGGTGAGGACCAGGCTCAGAGAGGGGCTGAGGTGAGGACTAGGCTCAGAGAGGGGCTGAGGTGAGGACTAGGCTCAGAGAGGGGCTGAGGTGAGGACTAGGCTCAGAGAGGGGCTGAGGTGAGGACCAGGCTCAGAGAGGGGCTGAGGTGAGGACTAGGCTCAGAGAGGGGCTGAGGTGAGGACCAGGCTCAGAGAGGGGCTGAGGTGAGGACTAGGCTCAGAGAGGGGCTGAGGTGAGGACTAGGCTCAGAGAGGGGCTGAGGTGAGGACTAGGCTCAGAGAGGGGCTGAGGTGAGGACCAGGCTCAGAGAGGGGCTGAGGTGAGGACTAGGCTCAGAGAGGGGCTGAGGTGAGGACTAGGCTCAGAGAGGGGCTGAGGTGAGGACTAGGCTCAGAGAGGGGCTGAGGTGAGGACCAGGCTCAGAGAGGGGCTGAGGTGAGGACCAGGCTCAGAGAGGGGCTGAGGTGAGGACCAGGCTCAGAGAGGGGCTGAGGTGAGGACTAGGCTCAGAGAGGGGCTGAGGTGAGGACTAGGCTCAGAGAGGGGCTGAGGTGAGGACCAGGCTCAGAGAGGGGCTGAGGTGAGGACTAGGCTCAGAGAGGGGCTGAGGTGAGGACTAGGCTCAGAGAGGGGCTGAGGTGAGGACTAGGCTCAGAGAGGGGCTGAGGTGAGGACCAGGCTCAGAGAGGGGCTGAGGTGAGGACTAGGCTCAGAGAGGGGCTGAGGTGAGGACCAGGCTCAGAGAGGGGCTGAGGTGAGGACTAGGCTCAGAGAGGGGCTGAGGTGAGGACTAGGCTCAGAGAGGGGCTGAGGTGAGGACTAGGCTCAGAGAGGGGCTGAGGTGAGGACCAGGCTCAGAGAGGGGCTGAGGTGAGGACCAGGCTCAGAGAGGGGCTGAGGTGAGGACTAGGCTCAGAGAGGGGCTGAGGTGAGGACTAGGCTCAGAGAGGGGCTGAGGTGAGCCCTGTTGTCCGTGTAACTGGGCATAGTGTGTGTTTTAAGTTGTGTGTTACTTTTGAAGGCTTTAAGATGGAACTGAAAAGACACTTAAAGAGTGAGCAACGATATTTTGAGCTTGAAATAATGTCATTGAAACATAAGAGAGACAAAACATACATTACTGGACTGTGGTGAGCTGTCTGAACTGCCTGTGTCAGATTATAATTATTCACCGCTGATTTGATCTTACATCCATAGTTTTTGGTATATTTTCATGTCGTTGCAAAAAGAATATTGCTTCTGTGTGTCTTCCTTGAGCACAGACCTCCTGGAGCTCCACTGGGGCCAACAGAAACCGTTCCCACTAAAGACAGTCTGATGTTTGCAGTGTCTTTGTTAGAATAGTGTGGCCTTTAAAACACTCATGAACCGAAGTCTTGTCCAGGCCCCGGGAACTTATTACTTTGGGATTTTGGATTGCGTGAAATTAACCTGAAAGACGATTGGCATGTGTGTCTGTGTGTGTGTGTGTATGTGTGGGTGTGTGTGTGTGTGTGTCTGTGTGTGTGGAGACAAAGAAGGATGGATGAGCCGGGTTTGGTGCTGGCTCAGACCCTAGGGGGGCTTTGGGGAATCCTGAGAGAGAGAGAGTAAGTGGAGAGGGGAGAGACGGGGAAAGAGGGGGAGAAGGAGAGAGTTGGGAGAGAGGGATGGATAGAAGGAGAGAGAGGAGGAGGGGGAGAGGAGGAAGAGGAGGGAAAGAGAGAGAAGGAGAGGGAGAGGAGGGAGAAAAGGAGAGGGGACAGGAGGAGGGAGAGAGAGAGAAGGGGAGAGGAGGAGGAGGGAGAGGGGGAAGAGGAGGGAAAGAGAAAGAAGGAGAGGGAGAGGATGGAGGAGAGGAGAGAGAGGGAGAAAAGAGGGGAGAGGAGGGAGAGAGGGAGAAAAGGAGAAGGGAGAAAGGGAGAGAGAGGGAGAAAGGGAGGGAGAAAAGGAGAAGGGAGAGAGGGAGAAAGGGAGAGAGAGGGAGAAAGGGAGGGAGAAAAGGAGAAGGGAGAGAGGGAGAAAGGGAGGGAGAAAAGGAGAGGGGAGAGAAGGGAGAGGGAGAAAAGGAGAGTGGAGAGGAGGGAGAGAGAGGGAGAAAAGGAGAGGGGAGAGGAGGAGGGAGAGAGGGAAAGGGAAGGAGAGAGGGACGGAGAGGAGAGAGAGGGAAGAAGGAGAGGGGAGAGGGAGAGGAGGAGGGGGGGGGGGGGGGGGGGGGGGGGAGAGAGAGACAGTTCCAATGCGTGTCGTCTCCGGGCGATGAAAGTGGTTATTTAATCTGAGAAACTGTAAAAGAATGTGGTTCAAAGTGACGTCTCTGCAGCTCTTCACATGTTGCTCATTATCAGAGTCCTTGCGTTGCTCATGGGCACGTGTTTCTCCTGAACCTCTCTCCTGTGTCTTCCTGTTCGCTGGGTGACTCCTGTGTGTGTGTTTGTGTTGCTCGCTCTCTAGTGTGTGTGTGTGTTGTTCTGTCTGTGTGTGTTTTTCTGTCTTTTGTGCGTCTCTATCTATCTGTGTGTGTGTGTGTGTGTGTGTGTGCTTCTGTGTCTGTCTGTGTGTGTGTCTCTGTGTGTCTGTGTCTGTCTCTGTGTCTCTGTGTGTGTGTGTGTGCCTCCTGTGTGTGTGTTTGTGCCTCTGTGTGTGTGTCTGTATGTCTGTCTCTGTGTGTGTGTGTGTGTGTGTGTCTGTCTCTGTGTCTCTATGTGTGTGTGCCTCTGTGTGTCTGTATGTCTGTCTCTGTGTGTCTCTCTCTGTGTGTGTCTTTCTGTCTCTGTGTGTGTGTCTGTATGTCTGTCTCTGTGTGTGTGTCCGTATGTCTGTCTCTGTGTGTGTCTCTGTATGTCTGT